TAAAAAAAATATATATGCATGGAATACTAAAAATAGACAGGAAATAAAGTAATTATTGTGTAGTTTATATATATATATGTGATAGAATATACTTTTACTAACCTACGCATGTACGTGACACTGTACATATTTACCAAAAATATAGGCATATGTGTATTTCTTCAAATTCAAGATTCTAGATATTCATGAACTTAGATATTACTAAAAATTACCCATATTTCTATGCTAGACAAACAACTCTACTTTCACATAAATACCAACATATTGTATTATGTAACTTCGTATTTATATAAATATAAATAAATAATACTAAATATAAATAAATAAATACTAATAAATTAGTATTTCCTTTATATACTGACGCAATGTAAATATGGACATAAAATGAATTAAATGTATATAGAAAATATTTACATGTACAAGTATAATATATTTATATGTAAGTCTAGAAACCAACGTTCCTGGATTGTCAATCCCACTGTTTTTTGGAGTACAGATTTGTAAATGCTGGATTCTTAGAGAATCACCATATATCAATCAATGACCAAGCTGCCATTACAAAACAATGCCAAATAAAAATAGTTGGAAAGCTTCAACACGTATTTTGCCAGTATATCTGCAAAGGCATTTAAATATGAAAAGTTTTTAATTCGTGAGATATGTAGCAGGGAAGTAGACATATTTTTGCTTTCTATTGTAGTAGCTGTGGATTTGACAAAGTCTCCCACCTTTACACAGTCAAAGTAGATTTATAAGAGTTGAACGCAACCCTCCCTATGTGGAAACAATTTATGACTGCTTTCTAACAAAAAAGTTATTTGCAATTAGTTGAATTGACACACCATAGAAAACAGAATCCTTGCATCTTGAATGTAGGAAAAATAGATGTCTATGGATTCTGCCACTAAAACTAGGTGAAAACCACACAAACAAGAAGCTCCCTTTTGTTTCTGGAATTGCTGAGTTCTATTCAGAGGGGTTGCTCTGACTTCATAAACATGTCCAAAACAAATGAGTGCTAATAAATTTCAAAAAAAATATGGAGAACCAAAGCTAACCTACAGAAGTTCAATTCAACAGAAGATCTTTCTTGATCTAAGAAAGTATGAAAATTGTGCGAAAATTATTTTTTGGCAAGAAGATATTTGTCAGAGGCCAAATTCTCAGTAAATATGAAGACAAGTAAAAAAATCACTTTCAATAGTGTTGTTCTGGCTTTATACCATTTAAAAATATGTCTTACCATTTATCTTTCTCTTTTGTTACACCTCTTCATGGCTCTTTGCTAATATTAAATTAGCAATACCTTTCCATTCACACCTTGTAAGTTTGTTCTCCCTCAAATATTCTCCCTTCTTCAAAATAAATCTTACCTATTGGGATTTTTTCCACTTTCATGAGTCTAAATATATCTATAGAACAATGGTAATTTTATAATTTTTCTCTGAAAAAAGAAGACTATACTTTTAAATTGTCTTTTTATTGCAAAAAGACAAAAGTGACAGAATCAATATCAAAAGTAATTATCTATGAATATTTTCTTATAGGTAATATGGTGCAGTAAGCACAGGCATTAGTTATTTTGATGGTTAAAGTTCTCTTTAGTTGCAAAATTTTTGCAACTAAAAATTATTTTTAATTTACATCATAATTTTGACCACTACCTCATAAATCTAGTGTGTCACCAGCATATTTCCTGTTCTCTATTTTAGTCATGGCTTATTGTTTTCTTCATTATTTATATGTGTATGTGTATGATCCACTTTAAACCAAAAACACCCAAAGTACATCTATAATCACTAAACCAAAATAAGCATAAAGGTATATCCCATGATCGTGTAGCTAAGAAAGAAAGGATTGCTCCTGGAAGAACACAAGTGCCCTCAGTCTCCTCAACCCCAGCGTAAGTTGAGAAACAAAAGCACCTCTTAGAGCTGGGGATGGTTGCTACAGAAAACACTTCCTCATTTTGAGATGTCCACAGTTGCTGTTACACTGACTGTTAAACACACTTCGGCATAGACGCCTCTGTTGGACAAGTGTACAGAATTCCTAATTAAGGAGTTTCATTTTTGTCACAAAAGGAGCTAGATTGTAATGGCATCTTTTGTTCTATGCTTAATGAAGGGTGAGATATTGTTTAAACAATTAGCAACACCGCTGCAAGAGAATGTGAGTAATTAGCATAGCTTAACACCCAGAGGAACACCAGTCGCTGTTGTTAGTATCAACAGCGTGTCCATTTAAAAAGAAAAATCACAAGAGTCACTTGAAGTGGTTTAGCTTTTCTTTTTGAAAGATAAAATTAACCACATATTTTTTAACTGATGTACTATACCACTGGCTACCTCATTCTCATTCTTTCAGAATTAAAGACATATCAAACCCCATGTATATTAAAAAGCCACCGCAGATTTATAGCAAGCAACAACCCATTTTCTCTAGTGGAGATTTTCTGATCTATTTGAATTTTTAGTCTGCAAAAGGTGTGTGTACATTACCTGTAAGTTAACAAAGACTGTCTGCAAGCACAGTCTTTGTTATGTTATGTTATGTTAGCAGAAAGACCAGTGACTCAAGAGATCATATAACCGTTTATGAAGGAAGAGGAGGTCTGAAAGTGGAAAGGGGCCTGAAATTCTTGCCTATCATCTACCAGACACAGGTGTGATCCAGTATTGTTCTTTCACTTCTTGTAGGGCAAATGCCAATCTACAGATCTGAAAATCTCATTTTCTGAGATTGACTTATAAACCAGAACAAATTGCTGAGACAGAAATCTAATGGGGAAAGGGAAGACGTAGGTTTCAGATTATCTTCTTATGAACAGAGAGTGGATGCCGGATCTGGATTGGAAACACCTAGTCTACTGTTCCTGGAGTCAGAGCATAAATGTGTCATAATTGCTGGCATAATTGCCGTGACTGATTTCATCACTGGCAGTAGCAACGTGAAATAGGCTGCTTCATGACAAAGACAATAGGAATAGGATTTCACATAGACTAGTAATTGTCTATGTAACCTTGTTTTATACAGTGTGGGTACAAAGACAGTCCACATCTCAAAAGAAATCATACAGATGATCATAAATGATGTCAGGAGTTGTTGGTATGAGGCAAGAGTTATTTGGCCTAGGACTACGCTAACCATTAAATTAGTACTTTAATTAATCTTCCAGAAAACTGGTGGAAAGTACTTTATTAGACTTCTGCCAGGTTAGCTACACTGGGTAACATCCAATGCAAATGTTATTTGTGCTTCTGAGATGCACCTTCTTAAAGCCTGAGCAAAGATGCTTTTTTGAACAGGCATCTTTGCACAGAAAAGCCACAGACTGTGCAAAAATACCCTCATCTTCTTCACAACTATCTGCAATATGGAGTCAAAGACATCAAGAGAGAAGACATGCCTTTTAAAGTCTTCTTTCAAGACTCTCATTGTCTATGTACTAAGAAACATTTACTACTTTTTTACATCCACAAAAATATACTTATCCAGTATTTAATGTTGAAGGTATTTCATGTTAAGTAGTCTATTCCTACTGGTATAACATTGATAAACCATACGCTGTTATCTTACTAAATAGTAGCACCTGTTAAGGATGTAAACTCACTGGATTATTAAAAAGCACAGTAAATCCATGCATCTTCGATTCATGTTTATAGCTCATGCTCAACATTACCAATGGAGAAACTATTAAAATAACAGATCAGTTTAGAAAAAGAAGAAAGCAAAAATAACAACTCCTCCTTAGTAAATAACATCTTTAAGAGATGAAAGTAAGCTCCTGGGTCCAGGCAGAGAAGTGTCTTTCATTATGTTAATATAATCATAGAATATGATCTGCATGTTTGCATATTCATAAAGACAAAACACCCACACAGAATGCGTATGTAGATTTCATCCGCAATCACCTGAAGTTATCACAGACGTGTGTGCAGCCACACATTTTTATCTGAAAGGACTTAAGTTAGTTAAATCTATTAATTCAGTTTCTTTTCCACCTTCAAAATTCTGTGTGAGAAGCCTGGCAGATAAGCTTTGCTCTCCACGCTTGTGATTTCTTGATTACAGTCCATTTTTGAAAAATCCCACTGCCCACAGGCACACACAGACTGGAGGGAGGGAGTGGGTGGAGGTAAGTGTGGGATGCCTAATTCCTGCCTTGGCTCTGCAGCAGCACAGGAATTGGCATGAGAGAAATGTACACCCAGGTGGATGGGAGGTCACTCACCTTGGCCTCGATATTCAGCAGGAGCTCTGCCTCTGCCAGCAGCCCTGAGAGCCTTGAGAGAACCCTGAGAACCTTGAGAGAACCCTGAGACCTGGCTGCCCACTGCTACCTCACCCAAGGCATCCTGTGCAGGGCCAGGCTGTCAGAGGCTTCCAGTTACCTGGCAGGAGATGTGCCAGAAGCTTGCCAAACTGTGGGAATGCAACAAGCTCAGAAACAATTCTGGTTTTGTTTTCAGGACTGCACTGCCTGCGAGGCTGGTGGGAGGCAGCGCGGGAAGAGCGGAGCCAGCATTCGGTTTCCCTGGCTGGACAGGCAGCTGGCATCCCTGAAGCCAGCACAGATAAATGCATCTCCTGTTAGTGGTGATGTGAAGGGCTTTTCACAATGAAAGCAACTTAATGAAAAATAATCAACAGCAAAGAATGCCTGACATTTCAATCAATGCCTGTGTATGTGCAGTCAGCACTATACCTTGCCAACTCCCAGGAATAAAGCTGCAGGTACATAGGGAAATTCACTTAAAGAGTAGTATATACTACATATTCCTTATGACAGCTTTAGAGAAATCAAAGCACAACTGAGAAATTCTTCTTAAAGTGAAATCTGACACATTTTAAATGGTGATGAGCAAACACACATACAGATGTGCATTTGTGTCTCGTCTGATTAGAGATCGCACATCCACCTTTCCCAACCCCTGCCCGAACAAGGAATTTAGCATGCAACTGAAGGGTACTTTCCTTCCCAACCACACACTGCTTGGCTAGGAAAGCTGATAGGTAGCACTGACCTTTAGCTTGTCATAACGGTCACTTAAAGCTGCCACCTGATGGTCACGGTGTCGCCCGACCAGTTTACACAAGGCACAAATTAACTGGTCATCAGTCACGCAGTACATGTTAACTTTCTCATCCTCATGCTCCAAGCACATTAATCCCCTGATGTGGGAGTCCGGGATGGGCTCAATGAGACGGTGGCCAGTGAACGGCTTCTTATTGGGGTGAGTGGCTTTCAGGCACTCCTCACAGTAGGACACCTCGCAGGTAACACAGGTTTTCACTGCCTCCTGGGCAGGGTCTTGGTCGCAGAACTGGCAGAGGACCTTCTCGCAGGACGACATGCTGTTGTTATCAAATGCCCGCTCCCGGCGGGTCTCGCTGGGGGAGTTGGGCCCGCTGACCGAGGCTTTCTGAAACCTGTCGATGATGTTCTGCAGGGTGACGTTACGCTTGAGCCCGTCTAGACCGCGCTGGCTGAGGGTGATGACATAGCGGCAGGTCGGGCACTGGAAGGCGGTGATAGACTCTACTGGCTCGTTGGTGGCGCAGTGGGAGACCAGGATGCGGTGTGCGCAGTTGAAGCAGAGGCTGTGAGCGCAAGGCAGCAGCAGCGGGTCTTCAAACAGCTCCAGACAGATAGGGCAGGTCAGTTCTGACTCCAGTGTTTCCATCTTCAGGCAAAGCTTTCCTGTGGCGTCAGCGAAATCCAGGGAAGCTGATCAGCTATCTGGAAACACACGTAAAATTCGATTAGGCGAGAGAAAACATGAGGGGTCAGCCATGGGGGGTTGTCAACTTTCGCCACTGCTCCCTGGTCAACCCACCACGCCGGGCGGGAGAGCAATCAAAAGTTTTGAACCTGCACATGAACATATCAAGGTATTTAAAACTGGACTGTTTTATTTCCCACCCTCCCTTTTCACTTAAGAATGAATAAACCCCAAGCCGCCTTCATTTTTTTTCCTTTTCCCTTTCATGCAATCAAGGAAAACAGCAGATGTTTCTGTGCATTATTAAAACCTAAAATGATGGTCTTCAAACAGCCTATTACAGCAAAATTAGATTTCTTCTGCAGATGCTGGTTTTGGCTTCACTCATCTATTACCAAAACTTTTTTAAATAAGCACTTCACCTTTGTGCAAGGATTAGTCCAGAGTATTATAATTGATAAATTTGTAATCTCTACTACCATTAACAAAGTTATTTTATCAGATTGAAATTTTCATTTGCTACTATAGAAATAGCATGGAATTTACAGTACATGTCCAAGTTTACTTGTGTAAATATATATATGAATATATACACAAGGAATAATGTTTCTAGGGAAGCATGTGATAGTTTACATATAATATGTATGATATATATCATATACTAATCTATTCCTATGTATTTCAAGAACATATACAGCTGTATTTATATGTACCTGTACTTTTGTGCATACATACCTGTATACATATGCCAAAAATATATCACATACATGTTTGTAGTAAGATAAACATAGTTAGGGGAGCGCACAGTGTCATAACTGAAATGCCTAAAGGAAGGTGAATTAAGTAGATGGCAAAAGGTAGTTTAGCCCAAATTTCTAACCTCTTGTACAAGAACGGTCTCTAGACAGTAAGACAGTAAAGTGCAGTGAGATAGTGCATTGTGTGATTTGCTAGGAGGAGTTTGTGTGTGAGTGTGTAAGCATCACTTTTTTTATGAATACTCTCTACTGCTAAAACATATGAACTACTGCCTGCTTTAGTGAACTTACTAAACATCTGAAGTGGATTTTTCAATGATTTTTCAATGGAGGGCATGGGATTTTCCAGAGAAGGTAGCAGTACACCCCCATCAGAGATCAACTAAAACTTCATTTTGCTTCCCTTCCTGTGCTCAGTGTTACAGAGTGTGGTTTTGAAAGAGTCGCCCTACGCAGCTCTCCCTGCCTAAGCTCCTGTCAAGAGCCTGTCGCTGCCGCAAGCAGACAGGTCAGTGAAGCAGAAGCAAAAGCTATGCTTCACACTCACAGAGCTGTACCTCTTCACAGTACAATGTATTTAAGCTTTGTTGCTCATAACTGAGGACAGCTTCAGATGGCACAGCTGCATCGTCTTTACACTGTAAAGTCATTGTTTAGTTGTGTGAACTCTTGACTCCTCCCCTGACCAGGGAAAAGGACAGAAGGACCAGAATCCCCCACAAACAAACCTTGATTCATTAAGGGTGAGAAGAGCTCAGGGCTCATTAGCAGCCTTGGGAACCAAGCATGCTTGAACCTTCTGTACTTCATGACAATTAGTGTGGGGAGCATGGTGGCAGTGACAGGAATGCTACCTATAACCTCAATACGAAACAGCAAAAAGGAAAGTTCAGCAAACAGAGGCAAGGTTCAGACTGTCCATCAGTATTTAGTCCTCCTTGCTGTGTGGGAAGAGCAGCGAGGCGTCTGTTCCAGAGGTATGCTTAGAAATTAGGATACTTTGCCTCTTTGCACTAATGTGTCCTTTTATTCTGCCAAGAAATTTGAGCATTTAAAAAACGCGCTGACCCTGTCATAAAATTTGTTTTTCTATATCTTCTGTGATGCTGATCTTTCTTGAAATAAAGTTGTTTGCCAAAGACTAATTCATTTATAACTATCCATCAGCTGCCATAATTGCACGGTGCATCTGGTCAAAATTAAGCGTCTGGCAATTTAATACAAGCAGGAAGACAACTCCCCTCTCAGCCATAGCCACACAGTACAGAAGAGATGAAAGCCTTTTCTGCAATGAAGACCAGTTTGTCTTTCCTCCTCTTCACTCTCTGTCTCACAGGAGTCCCAGAAGATCAAAATCTCATTCACATTGTTTGAATCCCTTCCACACCACAACTGTCTACCTCATCATCCACTTATCCTGCAGGCTGAATGCTGCACTGGAGAAAGGGATTCAGAGTTGGCAAGAGACAATGTTCAAAAAGACAAACTAATAATTGCTCATCTATTAGTATGCCTGTGAAAACCTCTAAGCCTTTTAGGTTGGTTTCTTAGGACCATGTTCAGTGTACAGGCTTTCTTGTATGCTAATCTTTCTGTACAAAATTCCTCCAGCTTCTTTGTGTGCCAAACAGTTTCATTCATTCAGTTTCCTTCTTAAAGCACTTTTTTTAACCAAAGGTATTTTTATGGTACTCATATAAAAGAGAGGTACAGATAAACAGCTAGAAGCAGCAAAAAACATTTGCATCATTGCCTCATGGAGAGATGTTTGAATCACCATCAGGGTTCTACACAAATACCACCATCTCAACTGATGACTAATTCTGATCTATCTGACCTGAATGAGCAGCAGCTCAGCCCTAACTAATGCTATTCAGCATGAGAAAGGGTGCCAAAATCTGATCTCAGACTGTAAATGTCTTGGAATAAGAGCCTATCTTCCAGGGTAATCAAAGCTGAGCACACTAATAGAAACCAAAAAAATACATTTCCCCTTTTTTCTTTTGCAGTTGCAAATAAGTCAAAACATACTACATCTGGGATTGTATAATGAATCCTTTGAGAGTCACTGAAGAGGGGCTGCATTTTCTGGGCAATCCAATGAGTACTCCTTAAAGCCACTGCAATTCTGCTTTCACTTTTAGATTGGTGTCTGAAGTACAGATCAGTGTGCTGATGATCCAGCTTTAAAATCTTTCAAACTCACTGGCCCTTGCCTTAAGGTTTCATGTTGAGGTTATTTTTTTTTCTTTGAGAATAGTAAAGAGTCTCTAGCCACAGAAAACTGAAAGACTAGGCAGAAGCACAATAGGTATGGTTTATGTATGCACGTGGTTGTATTCCATATTCAACATAGCTCAAAAATTGAAAGCCACATAGACGGCCTCCAGACACAGAAAGGAAAGAAGGAATTTCAAGTACATAATTTCCTATTTGCAAAAATATGGCATTACTGGTAGAAAATTATACTATTACCAAAATGTCACTGAAATGACAAATACTATTTTTCTACTCACAGGAGGTATTTTTAAAAACATATATCAAAATAAAAGATTGACAAGCAAGTGTTATTTAACAATCAAAAATATACTTAAGTAACTTTGAATTTGTGACATCTCACCAGGCACATAATGATTAGTTATGTAGTATGTTGTAAACATGCAGTAATTTAAATCCTACTGTCAAAGTAGTTCATGGCAAGACTTCTACTAACACTAGTGGAATTAGCATCTCTGTACCTCCGGTTAGAAGCACGACGTATTTTGCAGGTGGTATTAATGCCTTCATTTGCACAGAAGCGCACACAAAAGTTTTCAGAAGAAATGGGTGAGAAATTAAAACAAAAGCCGAATTACAGAAATTTCAGTATGCTAAATACCAGTAGAGCTGAATAGATGAAAAAACTGTTTCATAACTAGAAGAAATGCTATGCTGAAAAAAGGTTGTATTGCACTCTCCATTTACTTTATACTTAAAAAATTGCGGATTAGAGATATTGCCAAAAGTCCAGAAGACTGTTAGCATGGAACTTAATGACATCCTAGTAATCAAAGATCAAAACCACATTTCCTGAGGAGGACATCATGCCAGGGCTCATCATTCTTTGAAACATTTCTATCTGTAGCAAAATTTGGCAATTGGGTGGCACTGAAATCAGCCCATGAAGGCTGACTCCTGATTTTTCATTGCTGGGAGTGCCAGTGCTGTGGATGGTTCCTATGTTTTAAGTACAGAAAGCAGTACATAGAAGCAGTAGGATAAACATGCCAGGAAGTGTTGGTGAGGGGAGACTTCCATGAACCAGAGCTGTAAGCACTTCCTTGCAGGGAGCAACACAGCCCTATATTCTGAAGAAATCACCTGACCTTGGAAAGATGCTGCAAAGCACACACTGCTACACAGAGCTGTTCTCACAGCCAGTACCTGTACATGTCTCCTGTACACTGGTTAGCACTCTTTCTGCACCCAAATGCCAACCAGAAAATTGCAATTTATGTCCAAAACAACTATCCTGCTTACCTCCTAAGGAAAAAGCCAAACATCCACTAGGAATACAATATGACCTGGTAATGTCATAGTAATAAAATACTTTAAGAAGATTAACACCATTCTTTAAAGTTGGATCTGACACTTCAACCTAACTAGTAATGGACACTTCAACCTAACTAGTAATGCTCACCAGAGAAGCGACTGGTGACCTGACAAGGTCTTTACATTTATCTGTTTTTCATTGGCATTAATTAGATGATCAATGTTGACAGTTCTTTAAGTTTCTTGTATTAACAAAGTAATTGCAGTGTGATATTGTCAAAGAACATTTTTCACCCTAACCTAGCACAGTTAATCTGGAACATGGTATTTGTATTGGGTTTGTGTGGAAGGGTTTTGGTAGCTGGGGGGCTACAGAGGTGTCTTCTGTGAGAAGCTTCCCTAGCATCTGTCAGAGCCAATGCTAGCCATCTACAAGAACAACCCACTGCTGGCCAAGGCAAAGCCCAGCAGCAACAGTGGTAGCATTTCTGGGATAACAGATTCAGGAAGGGGAAAAAACGTTACTGCACAGAAGCAATTGCAGCTAGAGAAGAGAGGACTGAGAATATGTGAGAGAAACAGCTCTGCAGACAAGGACAGTGAATAAGGAGAGGAAGGAGGTGCTCCAGGTGCAGATTTCCCTGCAACCCATGATGAAGACCATGGTGAGGCAGGCTGTCTCCCTACAGTCTGCAGAGATTCATAGCAAAGCAGATATCTACCTGCAG